TGGAAGACCACGAAGTATACATACTTTTAAGCCCTTTTCCTGTAATTTGTGTCTATCTGGACAATTTTTTAGTACTTTTAAACTTAGGGTAGACTAAATTTTTCTGGTGGTGGTTTTAGATGAACCTTAGGATCCATTGCTGGTTCCCCTCTTTCTTGCAGTTTTTCTGAATCTGCCTGCCTCCACCTTGTAACAAGGGGAAACATGCTGAGACACGGTGTTTTTACTCTTTTTACTTAACAGTTAATTTGATGTTTGGGCATCTCTGTCCTCAAGTTATGCTGGTAGTGTGGTTTTTTTTGTGTGTAGCTTTATTTTTCTCTTCCTGTTGTTTTGTTTCATTTTTAAAGTAAATATTGGGATAGGGGCCTAGGGTATCACCATGTTCTTCAGCTACCTGGAAGTCTCAGTATACATTTTGATTCACAAAAAGCAAATCTCCTCAACTGCCTCAAACAAGCAGCTTTCCAGCCATAGCCACTGTAAATCTAAGAGTTTCTGAACACATGAAAGTTTTGCTTCTTACCAGCAAAGGCTGCATGGGCCACCTCTAATGGTTGGTACCAAAAGTAAAAACACGTGGTTGGATTTGCAGGGAACAGGCTACCTATTCCAGCTCTGGCAAAGGGTCCTTATTTTGATACCCATTTGCCATTCCCAGTTTGACCACAGCCTAGACAAGGAAAGGAAATTCCCCGGGAATTCTACCTGAATTGTAAATGAGTTTTAGTAATTGGGTTTTTGTTTAGTACAGAAACACCCCACTGGGGCACCTTTTCTGTCCTTACTTTCCCCTAAATAATCAGTCTCCTGCCACTTAACAAGTTCATGTGCAGCCAAAAGTTCAGTCATGTGGACGGAAGTTGATCCTGGGAAATTTCTCTTTAATGTTGCCCTTGGGCACATTTTTACTATAAACTTTTTGCATTTGGCTACCTACCAGCCAGGCCCAAATAACTCTTTAGGTCCTTTACCAGTCTAAAGCTGTGTTTGTTTTCTGTGGCATATTAGAGAAAAGGTTGAGATGCTATGTGAAAATGTGGATTTGGAGAAGTTTGTTTCAATCTCTTCTCTGTAGCCCAGGTGCACAGTAGCCTCATGTCCTAAAGAAATGATCTAAAATCAATTTCCTAAAGGACAAATATCTGGTAGGGCTGGTCTCTTTTAATAGGAGACAAATACATAGTCTCTGGCTCGGACTATCAGAATCCAGTAGCAGGATGGAAGAGAAGCTGTCTTTTTAGGAGGTTTTTCCCTGAAATCACCTCCTTTGCCACCTTTGATATGGGAGACTCCTAGATGGGCTTTAATTAGGGACACCCTTTGAATTTTCAGCTAACGGAGGATTTTAAGCTTAATTGGTTGGTCCAGTTTTCTGTGGGTTCCCCTTGGAGAATTTTGGTGTAAATTAAATGTCAAGAAATCAAACACCCCCCCTTCTCACTTGTAGGAGCTATGAGGTTACTTTGGAGCCATCACCAGAGGTTGCAAGATAGATGAAACTATGTCCCTTGAAAATGTGAAATATCCCATGGCACCTCAGCACGAAATTTGGGAACCCTAGATATACAGCCTTCTAGCCTCTTTTCCTATGCATGTGTCTATATATGCACACACATATACACTGACAGATATTTTTGGAGATCATGCTACATATACTTTTGCTAACTGTTTAAAAATCCCTGATAACAAAACATACATTTTCCATGTCATTATATATTCTTCTATAACAATATTTTTGATATTGTATCTCATATTATAGATATATCAGGATTCATTAAAGTAATCCTGTATTGTTGGACATTTACAATATTTGTATTTTTCCTGTTGTAAATAGTGTTTTGATGAACATCCTAGTGAATAAATTTTTACATATACTGATTATTGCCTTGGTGTAAATTCCTAGATGTAGAATTGCTGGATCAAAACATCTGAATATTTAGTTTCTCGCTTTAGAAAGGTGTGACAATTTATACTTTTCCAGTCTTGTATGTGAGTATATGTTACAGGCTTTTTATTTGATGGTAAGAGTTTTATTTTAAGTGATTAGGAACATAGATTCAGATATTCAGATATTTGAGGAACTGTGCTGGGTACTTTCACACACACACAATTTAATCTTATTTATATAACATCATATTAAGTCTTTATAACAACCTTGTAAAGTTGAAATTATCATCTCCATTTTACACATAAAGAAACTGGGAGTCAGAAAGATACAATAGCTTTTTTCCAAATCACACAACCAAGAAGTTGTAGACCTATATCACAGATACCTAAGGGACGTGACTGGCTAATGATAATAATAATAATGTCTAATATTTATGGAGTGCTTATTGTGCCCCAGGTGCTGTTTACATGTTAACACATTTAATCCTCATGCCAAACCTATAAGGTGCTATCTACTCTTATCCCCGAGACACTGAAATGATTAACTTGTCCGGTATCACACAGCTAATAAGGGGTAAAACTGGTATTAAAATCCAGGTAGTTGTGGCTTCACAGTCCATGCCATTAAAGACCAAAGAACAGTATAATAGCCTGTAGAGTTGTGGAAGACTGTATGTCAGAATCTTATTATAAATGCTTTTTGAAAAGAAGAAAAAAAGTGCCTTAACTATTTTTATAGATGAAAGAAGGAAAGTTGCTGCCTAAGAAAATGTCTATCTGGCCATTCTCTGTCTAAGAAAATGTCTATCTAGCAATTTGGCTGTTAATTTCCCGACCCTATACCTGCAGCCTTTTCTCTTTCAGAAATATACAGCCTTGTAAGCTTAATGCATGAAACCATGTTCTATCCACATCTGAGGGATAGAACTTGAATGGAAAACCTTCTCGTAAACTTGGTGACCCAAACTCAATCGAACAAATAAAACAGTTAAAATTTCTTCAAGTTACCTAGAAATACTAAGTATTATCACTTGAGATGGGCAAATTTTCTGAAGTTTACCTAAGTGTAATCTGAGTCTTCTCTTATTAATATTTGTTGAGTAAATGAAGTACACTCATTCCTATTCATTTTTTAAGCCTCTTCTCATAGTCTTACTTTGGTATTTAGACATTATTAAAAATTATGCAGATTATGACAAAGGATTATATTTTTATGTTGTTTCGGTAAACACTCAAAATTTTCTCTCACCTCCCCTCCAAGAAAACCAACTTAATGAACCACAAAACATGTTATAATGAGTGGGAAAAATATTTTTATCATTTTTATGCAGAAATTGCCTCATTAAAAGCAAATTCTTCAGCAAGCAGATTTGAGCTTAATAAGAACTTCTGTTGGGTAGGGGCCTTCATGACAAANTCTCTTATTAATATTTGTTGAGTAAATGAAGTACACTCATTCCTATTCATTTTTTAAGCCTTTTCTCATAGTCTTATTTTGGTATTTAGACATTATTAAAAATTATGCAGATTATGACAAAGGATTATATTTTTATGTTGTTTTGGTAAACACTCAAAATTCTCTCTCACCTCCCCTCCAAAAAAACCAACTTAATGAACCACAAAACATGTTATAATGAATGGGAAAAATATTTTTAGCATTTTTATACAGAAATTGCCTCATTAAAAGCAAATGCTTCAGCAAGCAGATTTGAGCTTAATAAGAACTTCTGTTGGGTAGGGGCCTTCATGACAAATCACTAGCATGTGTAACTGTTCTAGCTGAGAACTAGAAAGCCAAGAGAGGCTCTTACCTCCCTCTCTTATCCTTGGGCTGCCCTGCAGCAATGTAGTGAGTGCCACATGGCACTCAGTGTGCACTTGATGGGCACCGAAGGACATGATGCCTACTGTCCAGCTGCAAATGGGAAAAATGTTTATATATTCTCTGATATCACTCAAGGTCCCATCTGGATATGTTATATCACGTGAATTCATGTAGATGAAGTCTGTTTTCAGCTTGGTGTTTGGCATCACATGACATGAATATTTTGCATCTATTTTGCATAGTGTAAAAGCCATGAGGGTGCGGGGTTTAGAGTCATACATACAAATGTAATTTTAATAAAAACCTCAACTTGTGCCCATGCTGTTGTAACTTCTTTAGACTTGGACCTCAAACCAGAATGACAAGAGGGCAGGAGTGCAAACAGTGGGGCAGGCAGTGTGGGCTGATTTGGCCACAAAAGCCATAGTCCCTTACTACAATGATGCCCTACTCAGAGGCACAAAGTGCTCAAATGTCCCCACTGAGGTTCCAGAAGGCAGCCCTGGACTGATGTGTTTGCAGTGGCTGCCAACCGAGTTTGCAGGTGTTCTGAGCCCAGCTCAGGTTCATCATCTGTGATCCACACTTGGGGGCTCAGGCTGAATTACAGCCATGTCCACCCCGGCAAGGCTGAGATCACCAGCAGTGATGACATCACCGTGATAATAAGTTACCCTGGAGAAGTAGCCTCCTTTATGGAATAGGAAGACATGAAATGATGGCATGATTCGTCTTCAAATGGCAATTTTCAGATCGCTTCAGTTCTTTCCCAGCTCACTCCACTGAGTCAGCCGTGCTATTGCTTGACTGGTAATAATAGTAGCGGCAGCTGTGGTGAGCATTTGAGGTATTACTGTGTCGGTCAGCTGCTCTGCTAAGCTCCTTACACGTCTTATCTCATTTAATCCTCAAGCCCTATAAACTAGATGCGTTAATGTCCCCATATCACAGATGAGGGATCTGAGGGCAAAGAAGGTGAGTACCCTACCCTAAATCCTGCAGCTNGAAGTAAATCTTCTTTCTGATTTTAGAGTCCTTAACTATTACTGCTTTACTGCATTGTGCAACCAGTTCACTAAAAATACATCTGCATCCCTACTCTATTCAATAAAAAGAGGCCTTCCTTTTAGGAATGAAAGGGGAAAACTTAATTCATTTCCAAATGCCCATGATTTGGTCTCTCAGCTAGCCCAGGCTCCCTTAATGTGAGGGGAAATAGACCTCCAAAACAAACTCATGGTTCCCAGTGGGCAAGCACGGGATTGCCAGTGGTCACCAAGCTTACCGTTAGGAAGTGGCGGTCCTTCACCTCGCGCCTCCTCTGGCTGTGAGCTGGCGGGTAGGCGGGCAGTGGAGGAGCAGCTATGGGAAGGGGGCCAGTGGCTCTCTGCTCTCGGCGATCACTCCGGCTTCGGTGTTCTGATCGTATAACTTCGTATAATGTATGCTATACGAAGTTATTACGGTTTCTATTTGCCTTTGTGCATCCCTTTATTTAGTGTTTCTGAATCACTTTGTTTTAGGTGTGTCTTGTATATACAGCATATAGTTGGGTCTTGCTCCATGACCCAAATTGAAAGTTTTTTCTTTTAATAGGCAAAGTAAGTTCACTCGCACTTTCACTTTATTGATATGACTGAACTCTAATATATTTTATAATTATGTGTATTTTGTTATATGTTATTTTTCTTTCTCCATAAAATATGCTTTTTTGCTCTTTAACTTTATAAAACCTTTTTTGATGTTTAGGAAGATTTGTATTTTTTTTTTCCAGTAGTCATCTTTGTACTTATACCATTTTAATGTCCTTTGTTCCCTGTTTATTATTTGAGCTTTTACTGTCTGCTTTATCAGTTCTTACTGGCATCCTTTAACACTCACCTATTGCCTAGGTAATAATCAATGAGCTTATTCTATTTTCTTCTTTATCTCTCCCGTCTCTCATTTTTTAGTTACATCATTTCTCTGTTGTCACAATAGCTAACATCTGTTCATTAGTTTTCCATCCTCATCCCCACCACAATTTTAGTTTTAGATCTATATTTGCATTTATTAAAATGTACACTATCCATTCTTTTGCTGACATTTTCCCAGTTATCCTTTGGTTGGATGAAGCTTGTCCTCTGGTAGATTTCCCACAAAGGACTGGTGGGTGCAAAATTCTCTAAGTTTCCGTATGTTGAAAAGTATTTTTCTATAGCCGTGATACTTGAAGAACAGCTTGGCTGGATATAATATCCTTGCTCCATACATTCTTTCACTGATTTTTTACAATCACTCTATGTGGATGTACTGATCTATA